ACCTCCCACAATTCACCCAATTTACAGATCCTCTCCTCAAACAAGATTATAACAAAAATTTTGCTATCTCCCTTAGATTCCGAGATATTCATTGAAAATTGGTCAATAGTCAAAATTGACTTAAACCGTTTTACCACTTCGCTACTGAATTGTATTTCTATACGGACAAAGGGAAGCCCTCAAGANTTAATAAATTTCTAGAGACATTCAACCGTGCATAAAGTGTACATATTTTCAGACTTTGGTGGCTGTTGGCCACCAATAAATTGTGACTTTAGAAAATTCAGTATTTTTTCTTTCACGGCTCATCCTANTCTCCCTTAGATTCCGAGATATTCATTGAAAATTGGTCAATAGTCAAAATTGACTTAAACCGTTTTACCACTTCGCTACTGAATTGTATTTCTATACGGACAAAGGGAAGCCCTCAAGACCAGAGATAGGCATAATCATAAATTATCATTACCATTAATTTCATAAATACTCAATCAAGTAATAAAACTTAGCAATTTTCAATTATTAAATTAATCACCAACTAAATATTTGAATTCCGAATTATTTTACCAATCAATAATCGACTTCGGAAGAATGACGATTATTTGATAATCTCTAATATTTTTTGAAAATTTCCAATGATTTACCTAATAGTTATTGAAAAAATTTAAATTCTCAATTATTTATTATTTTCCAAGTTCCAATGATAAACGAATGAATTCGGTTATTTGGGAAAATACTTCTCTTAATATTCCTGGAATAATGATTGATGCCGGTCACTGCTCAAGACTCATTTATTTCGTTTACATCACGTGTAATAAACAAGAAAAAAGTAACGGTCTTTGAGTTACTTATTCCCAAGCTAATACACCCACGGGAATCTCCCACAATCGCTGACATCACTTCCATAATCCATAATCGTCCACCACTTCTGATAAGTGACAATAGACTCTCGAGTACCTCAAGTAGACTCTGATGGAGCACTTGACGACCCCGAAACTCGGTCAAATCGCCATTTAATGCTCCATCGGTCCTCAATGACGGAGTAATCGACGATATTATCATTCCCTCAAGCATCTCGTGAGGGCTCGAATCTCCCAGCCTCCAAATTGTTCGCAGGAAACACCGTGAAGTTTCTTTTTTCTATTGGAAAACTTATTGGAATCTTTTGATACCTCCATCTCCAATCGTCTTCTATCCCTTTTTTGGCATCTGCTTCCGCTCGCCATCCTCATTATTCGCCGTGCCTTCCTCCCAGGATAACAATCGTCGCGGGATCCAGGAGATCTTTTGTTTCCCAGGAATTTACGGTAGAATAAATTTATTTCGAATTACTTTCCTCTACTTTGTTTCCCAATTTTTTCCCCCCCATTTTTCTCGATCATTAGTCCGCAACAGTTGCTTCTGGGTCATGCAGTCCACCCCAGGCGCACATTTACAACCACCGTTTCGCTGAAAAACGTCTGAAAGCCTTCATCATAACTACCACCACCAGCACCCCTAACAAAACACCGTCCGGTTGTTTCCCCGATCTTTCAAGCAGCAGCGTTGGCCATTTGAATGCTCCCTTGTTCTCCATGAATAGAAATCACGCCGCCTCCATTGAAATACAAATTTTTTTTCCACCACACACTATCATTTTCGCTTCACGTCTGTCACATTACGACGAATATTTTGCCATTTTGACAAATGTCTGTATTCTGATTCCTCCCTCGAGATACGAGTACATTATCTCATCGATTCTGTGGGGTTTCCCTGATGTAAAAGAAATAAAATACTCGGAGAGATCCCCGAGGAGAAAAAATCTCCATTTCTAATTAAAAAAAAAGCCGCACAAGTTTTGTAAGGAACTATTGAAGTGAATATTTTTAGAATATTCTTTCTCCCAGCGCGAAAAGAGAGAACTATTTCACGAGGAAAATGGGGAAAAAAATGTGATAAAGACTCGGGGCATAATTACAGCCCTTAATACTCTATTTTTGGCCTCAATTTTTTATGCTCTCTTGTGACGAGAGCTGGCTCAGCATCATTTCAGAGACGCTGGTGGGATATTAAACGTTGGGCGAAGATTATCCGGATCTCAGACGCATAGATACACATCGCTCATGCTCATACGGACTTTTTTCATCTCCGAATGTCCACAGTGGACTCGACTCAAATGGTCGCACCTGCAGCCGCGCCCGCAAAAAAAAAATCATCCAACTTGCTCGATAACAAACGCTCCTTTTCCTTGGAGTACTCCGAATGAGGTCGCTAAGTAACAATAAAAGAGCGAAGGACCACCCAATGGGTTTGCGTGACGCTTGCCTTGACATAAAACAGAGCCCGAGAAGTAGAAAAATTAAAATACTGAAATCGAAGGGAGGAAAATAAAACTACTCAACGACGAGTAATGCTCCTCGCGTGTTTACGGCGACTAGAATGAAATACCACGAACAATTCGATGCATCGATCGTAGGATTTGAAATATATGCCAGTAAACAGTGACTGGAGCGAATGTACGCTGAACATCAATGGGAGGCATTGCATGACTCTCGAGGGTTTATCAATTCATTCGCTAAATGGAGCAATTTTTTCCTCTACGATTGATTGAGCTGCACAGAATTCACGTTACCGAGGGGGAAAAAAGTATGAGAATTTCAAAAAATTGCAGGTATACCCTCGAATACTCCTAAAAGTGAATACGAGAAGTAGTTTCGAGCAAATTTCCTGTTGAAAAAGTTATAAACGAACTTTCTCATCAAATAAAAAAAGTTTTTCCCCTGAAAATTTGTGTTTCAGGGAAAAACCGAGGAAAACGAACAGGAAATTTCTCTGGCTATCCAATTTCACGGAGGCAGAATCCTCAATTTACACCAGCAACTCAATATTCTCCATAAAATTTGAATTTCAATGGAATAAAACTCTATTGACTCGCTATGGAATCTACAGAATATCGAGTGAATCAATGGATCGATTAGAAACTGGCGAAAAGTGCAATATATGAGAGCTGTCAACAATGCGGGGCAACATGGTACTCCTTCACCGATTTTTCATCGTGCACTCATGCAAAAACACGTAACTGCGTTGGCTATTGATGCTAGAGAGTGGGGATTATAGTAGTTGTGGTGCTTGAAAGACGATAAAAACGAAGGGGTGAGTGAGGGCACAGCATGAAGGGGACCCGAGAGCCTCTTAAGATCCAATTCATTATTAAGCGAGTAGAAAATATCAATTCCAACCACCGAACAATCCCCAGGGCGCTCAAATCCCCGTGGTATATCGAATGATTAAACTGGAATGAAATTACATAACAATAACAATAAGAGGAATATATCGATAAAGGCTGGGGGGGGGGG